TGAATTATGTTAAAAATCACATGGAAAATGTACCATCATGATTGGTAAGAGTAGACTAACTTAAAATTGTAAAAGGTGAGTCGGTTGGTTTGAAAGTATGTCATTTATATTCTGTTGTTTGACAGTCAGATCATTTGACTCTCAATCAGAGATTTTCAAGTTCAAATTCTTTACAGGGATCAAGTAAATGCATACTTTTTTTAGGTCGAAATTATGACCATTGTGTAGGAAAGTCGAACAGTGGTGTATCCTCTCATGAGACCACCATAGGTATATGACATATCATTGGCTTGGGACCACTCATTATGCTAATTTAAAAACCAAAGTGTATTTGATGCTTTATCTCTGTGAAAACCTGTTTTAAAATTCTCAAATATGTATTTTGATACCGTTATATTTCGAAGCTATATATGAATATATATTTTTTCCACTACAGATTTCAAGATGGCTTTTTGTCATTGCCAGCTTCCATTGAGATTATCTCCTGATTTAATTACAACTTACATTCAAACAAATCCAATTGCAGGGTGAGCAAGGCAAAGAAGGCACGCAGATGGACCCATTGCTGAGCTGCGATCAGATGGAGGTGGAGCTGGTGCCACTGGATGTGGAGCTGGTGCCCGTGGAGATCCAGCTCGTTCCTGCGGAGGAGGAGGAGGAAGAGCCGCCCGTAGCCATCGAGCTCGTGCCGGTGGAGGAAGGCTGTGGGACGTTCTCTCAGCCGCCGGGGGACTCCTTCGAGTCTATTGAAACATACACCAAAATGCTGAGCGACAAGGACCCCATGTTCACAGCGGCAAGCACTCCGTACCATCTCAAGTATCACGAGAACCTGCGCGACAGCTTCTCGCTGGCTTCCGCCGAGGGAGAAGGTCAGTTGAATGCCAACGTTTGCAATGAATTGAGTTTCCTTTCCACCCGGATCAATTGTTCTATTGTTTTGAGGTTTACTTTCACAATGGAAGCAAGTGAAATAATCTTCTTAATGAAGCCAAAGATTTGTCTGACCCTGGATAATTTATCTCAAATAGAAGCATTGTGGCTTGGAACATGCTGCAGCAATACAAATCATTAATCTTGGCTTGTAATTTTGGAGTGCTGTTTTGATTTTTCTTTAGAAATATTTATTGGTTTTCACTGACATTGTGTTATTCAGTTTGGTATGTTTCATTCATTGGTAATGAGAAATTTATTGGTTATTCTGACAATGCTCTTGTTCAACCTTGCTGGCACATGATGGAAACTAGTAGGCTTAATCGAATGTATTGCATTACTGTATCTAGATTGTATATCAGTACTTAACAGTAATAACATCAAGTGTATTCAACAAAAATAGTTGAAGTTTTTCCTTAATAGCCCTAAATGTTGGCGATTATGTAAATGCATGGTTTACATATTTTTTTTGTAACAATTAGAGCTGCTACCATTGACTATTGAATCTTGATTCTGGTGTGATTAATGAATAGAAATTAGCATTCAATTACCATATATTTTGCACAAGTGAACAATTTTTCAAACAAGAATCTCAAAGCACTTATCGTATAAAAACTGTAAGACCAACAGAACAAGAACACTCATACTCAGAAACACGCCAACATATACTAACAATACACCACGAAAACATTAATAATTGTAACTATCACTTCAAGAATGATGTGTAACTAGAAAGCAGTTCTATAAAATCAGCTGTAACTCTTACTTACAAATACCATAAATTATGACTCTGCAGTAATTTAAAAATTTTGGTGTCAATTTAATTTGTTGTTTGACATCACCATTTTAAAATGGCTCATGATGAATGGTTTACGGGAAATTTATGTACTTTTTTACTTTCGCACCGTACATAGCAACATTATATATTTAAAAATGTTTTCATTAAATAACTAGCGGAACAATTTATTCAACCAGCGCGTAGGTTTTTTAATGGTTAATTTTTTTCTAAGGGTATATCTTTAACATGTGCGGAATATAAAGCAGCTGCTTTATCCACTCAATATTATTTTGACCCTTTTTCACATGCATTGTCAAGTGAAAATGTAATCTAGTATAAAAACCAACCATATTAGCGCAATAGCAATTCAAGGTATTCAGTATTTTTTGATTGAAAATGTGTGTTTTTACAGGGCTGGGACTGGATGATGCCATGGTAGAGAGCCTTTTAAAGGATGGAAGCTTACCGATTATAGAGGATGTAATGGGATCTGAATTCACTAACCTTTCAAATGCAGAAAGACAAAAAACAGGTTTGTATTCATTTGAAATGTGTTACTTGTGTGTGTATATCATAGCCAAAAGTCCTTCCATGTACAAACGAGTGTTGGGTGGTATTCATCTCCGTTGATGGCCCTGAACCAGTGGTGGAAATTTCACATTGCTGCGAGCAAGTCTCAGCATATAGTGTACTGTATATAGGTTGGGTAGCATAGTGTTTATAGGTTTCATCTTTAAAGTGAAAGGTGACTAGTTTAAATCTGGTCAATCAACTTGGCACTCGCTCTGGGATAATTGTCACTTTCTGAGAAGTCAGCAGTAGTTGTTTGAGAGAGTGGCCCTCGCCATATGATCGTGTAATTTTCACCACTGGCTCAAGTTGACAAGTAGGAGGTGAGTCTCTCCTATGCTTCCCATGAGCAGGAAACTACTTTGTCTCCACAGTATATACGTATCTAAGAAGAAATGAAAATGTTTTGACTGAGATGCCATTTTCTTGATTCTTGAATGTGTTTCCAACACAGGAGCAAGTGGAGGTGGAGCTGAAGAAAAGAGGCCTAAAACAGTGACCAATAGTGCAGAGCACACACCTGGAGAGAGTGAACAGGAAAGTTTGCGACGTAAACCAAGGCAAACCCGAAAACAGCAGCAGCTGACAGAGCAAGGTGCCTCCACCAAGTATGCTTCAAAATCAGACTCTTGTGCCAGTGCCTGCACCAATGCAAAACCCTCGGGTGGGAAGGGCAATGATGTGTCAAAAAGCCATTCGTCACACAATGATGATGGAGAGGAATACCCAGAGCATGCAACTCCTAAAACCAGGCAGGTGCGGTCAGGCTCATTGCAGGACGGTGAGCAAAAGTCTGCGGGGAAAAGTTCATTCCTGAAACAGTCTGAAGCTGAATCCGCAAAGAGCAAGTTGGTTGCAAAGCGCAAAACAATGAGCATTGAGGAGCCGCCCCTGTTTGTACCAGACAACCTGCTTCCCGCAGTGAAGAAAGACTGGTCCGAAAGATCACAATGCCAAGTCTGGAAATGCTAAAGCGGGCAGGATGAGATCACAGAAGTTTGAAGAAGAGAGCAGCACGGACCTGACTGAAACAATGTCATCAGCCCTTTCTGATGAGAGTGACAGTGAGAATGACCCCAACAAACTTTGGTGCATCTGTCGACAGCCATATAATAACAGGTGAATGCTAAACACATTTGCAGTTGATTTACTTCACAGACCCAGCCCCTCTTGACATTGATTGGTTTCTATATCACATGTTTGGAAGATATGAGACTGGAATGTTTCCCTCCCTATTCCAATTACACTGCATGTAAATGTGCATGCTCTACTGCTTATTGAAACTTACAGTAATTCGGCGTTATTTTCTCTAATTCTATTTTATTGCAGTCATTAATAAAGTTAGTGGATCCATGGTCAAATAAGCAAAGAGAGGTATTAATCTCTGCAGGTTGCCCTGAGCCAGTGGTTGGAATTACAAATGATCATGATGGATGCAAGTCTCTCCGTAAAACAACCACTGTTGAGCTCCCGGAAAGTGGCACTTATTTTTTATTAACCACGGAGAGTTGATGGGCTGAGTAGAACACCGAGCGAGATGATAAAGAGGACAGTTGAGTATTTATCTCCAAAGTGTTAGCTACTGTTAATGGAGGAAGGATGTAATAAGAAATGGAAGTTGGGAATTATGACTTGATTCTAGCAATGTACAAATGTGTCACGTGGTTATTTGGATACTTAATTAATAAGTCATTAATTGTGGTTAACCAATCTGGAATGCAATCTAAGAAGAAAATGTTTTTATAGAAGTAGCATATCCTGAATAATAAGCATAGGTCCCTATCTAGGAAAGCTTCAACTAAGTTAAGACTTTTTCAGGATTTGGTTGTTGGGTGAATTTATTTTTATTGAAATATTTTAGTTATTTGTTAAAAATATCAGGAAAATCCCTTGCGATACAACATATTGTTTGCAAGGGTATCCAGGGTACCGATTGATACACATGTAGAAAATCATTTTAATCTGGAATTTGTGGATTTTTTTGAGGAAATATTAGTATTTGGAGAATTCCAGCACATCAAAGGGGATAAAAATCTGGACCGAAGAGTCAAAATTCCACCTACTGTGCTGCCATATTCTTGCATCCTCACACCCCAACAAATTTAGTCTTAACAGTACGTGATTATATTGGTGTGATTCACCAACCTCACCTCCAAAGTGATAGTTATAGGCATGTGGCACCACGTCCGTTTGTATGGTGTGTTTGGTGTGCCACTTTCTTTAATTCCCCAACTTCAAAACTTTCAAGGTCGACATTTATTTGAATAATAATAATGCAATTTATAACGCGCGCAAATTTGTGGATGTAACGGCCGCAACTCAGAGGCGCGGAGCCAAGCTCAGAGTCGCTCGAAAGCATGGTTATAGAGGTAAGTTTCTAAGTGTCTCTCCTGAAGGAGACGATTGAGGTGATGCTGCAAATGTACAGAGGGATAGCGTTCCAGACTGTTGGGGCTGCCACCCAGAAGCGGCGCATAGACACGGTGACCATCCTGGATCTTGGTATCAAGAGGAGGTCGTGAGTCTCGCTGCGCAGGCATCTGCCGTGTGCTGAGCTGCAAGTTGTCAGTAATGAAGAAAGGTACGGCGGGCAGGCAGATGTGTGGCACTTGCAATGCTTTATGACATTGAAAGACTGAGTACAAAAGAAAACTATTTTGGGAATTATTTCTGAGTGCAGGCACTTGTTTTATGGTGGAATGGTACTTGTTTCCGACAGGTTTATGATTTGTTGCGACCGATGTGAGGACTGGTTTCATGGTGATTGCGTTGGAATCACAGTTTCCCGTGGGCGGCAGATGGAACGCAATGGCGAAGATTACATTTGTCCAAACTGCAGCTCCAAAGAAGATGAATCCAAACAAGGTAATTCCTCTTGGTTGCATGGATCATGGGCAAATGCCTGATGTCAAAGTGTCTGCCAGAGGAAATCGCGTGGGTCAGTAATCATCCCCTTTGGTAGCCTTGGGCCAGTGGTGTAAATGCCATATTGTTATTGCAGAAGCCAGACTGTTTAGAGGATGACCAGTGTTGACCTTCCACTAAATGGTACTCATTGTGTCAGCTCAATTGTGATGTTGAGTGAACCCAGCACAAATGTTAATTCACCTTCCAACTGTGAGTCGAGCAATAATATAGTATAGTCTGGTATCCAGGAACACCCTCAATTACATGTGTTCTTTGACTGGTAACAAATGTTGTACTTTCCATAATGTCCTTCACATGTTCAGCTCTCCGTACTAAATGATGAACTTACCACTCTGCTTTTTCATGCGTTAAAAAAAAATCCTTAACCAAGGAAGGCTCACTTATTCTTAAGCACTCCTAGGGAGGTCCTGCATTGGGATATTTGTGCAATCAATAAGTATGGGTTCGAGTGGCATGAAAACACAGTATGTGATTAACATCCACGCGTAATAGGAGGGGGAGAAGACTCAATGTTAGGCATTGCGTATTATCCCCCTGCTGCCCTTCTGTCTTCGTGCTACCTCACAGCACTCGGTGATCTGTGATCCACTCAACCTACTTAAAAGCACTTTATTACAGGCGTGTATGTTCATTTCGCTTTTACAATGTGAGAGAAAACAAGTCCATACGATTATTTTGTTTCGTTTAATAATCATTTACATTTACGTGGTTATACATTTTTAGCACAGTTTATATGATTTTTAAAAAATATTTAAATGTAAGTGTGTATTACAATGTAATATATTTAATTTAGCCTGATTTTTGAATTTTTCAGTTTTAGTTTACGTCTGAAAAAACATAGCTACTCTATTTTTTAACTAGATTTTATGTTCATGTTAATTATTTTTTTATGCACCAAATTTGTCCCCTGTTTGCTTGTATTTCCTCCAGGTCTCCCTTGCAAAAGCGACATATTGTCCCAGTGGCGTCTCACCCAATTATAAATAATGGAAATAAACTGAGTCACAAAGTTTCCGTAAAGCGCACATGATAAATTATAATGAAACGTGAAATGTATCAAAAGTGCGTTCATAAGTATAGCATCATTCAGTGATGCAGGAATTTGCTAACCTACCAGGTCACACATGTGACTACAAAAGCAAAAGAAGCTTTAAGTGCAAAATTATTTAGTGATTAATGTAGTAAAAAAAAACCTGGTATAAGTGCCGGGTTTGGTGTTGCACACCTGTAATAATGTGACTTGGAGGTCGGGTTGATGGATCATACGTGGATGAGCCATGATTTGCGTGAGACTCCCACCTGCGGGTAAGTGAGGTGGCTGTAGGAGCCAGTATGGCAAGCGGCTTTTAGATACTTCTTTTGGTGATTTTATCGTTCACCGCTCATGCCTTTGGTTTCTTTGGGCTGTCTATTTTATGACTACAAGATAAAACATTCAGAAAGGAACGGTTCTACCCTCCCAAGTAGGACCGTGCTGAAACAGAGTCTTGAAGACTCAATGAGGCTTCACTGGGTAACTGTAAGATTGCGGTCGCGGTAAGTTAGTCATTTTGAACTCGTGCCTATTATTGTTTCCAGTTAATTGATTGTGCATCGTAAGATGACATGTAGTTTCTTATAAAAATAGCAGCAGTCGGTCAATAACTGGAAACAATGTGGCACGAGGTTATTGTCTCTGTGGCACTTTGTTCTCAGCCGGCGGGGCTGATCAGGACGTGCAACTTGGAGCGAAAGCCGAGAGCAGCACCACCTTGTCCGAGGCGGATGCCGGGGCCATGCCAGGGAAAGGGACACCTGCCCAAGCTGCCTTGCATTGCATGAGCGACGGATCCATGCCAACAAACACACAGCAAGGCAACATCAAGGGCAAGATCGAGAAAGCGAAGATTGTGTCTGACATCACAAAGAAGAAGAAGAGGATATTAAACAGGGTAATTGCACAGTCATCAGACCATATGGTGCCGTGGTAAGAGCATGTGACCTGCAAATGGAAGGCTACAAGTCATTATCCTGGTCGGAGATTGACTCGGCCCATCGTCACTTGAGGGTTAATTAACTGAGTACAATTTATTTGAGAAGGCAGCAGTGGTGTCACCCTGTGGAGAGACTGGTTCACACTGAGAATGAGTGTTCCACCCCTGGCGCAGGGCTGCCAAAAGAGATCATTGCTGCCCAGTTGATTGATTGAGCATAGATACATTTTAACTTTGTGGAAATTACTTTTGATCATTAAATTCGGCAGTCACTTAAGTGTGGGCTGAAAATACAGTATCCATTGCAAGGTAAAGGAAACATGTTAGTTGTGGGGAGACAAAGGTGGCTGGGTGTGGTGTTTGTGCTTGTGTTCAAAGGTGTTTACTAACAGCAGTTACCCCTACAACCTTGAAGGCTAATTGAGATATTTGTCTTGTGCAGTGTGCTGGTACAGGGTGTACAAATATGGCAGCTCCAGGCTCTGTGTACTGCAGCAATGACTGCATCCTGCGACATGCAGCTCACACCATGCAGACCCTCCAGAAAGTTCAAGCCAAACCTGCACCTCTACCCAGCATCATAGGAGATTCCAGCTTATCTGTGGTCAGTATACTTTGAAAAAAAATGTTATTTGAATGGTTGTAAACTGCAGAAGATGCAATTTAGTTTTTATGTTTTGACATAGAAAAGGATGTGCAAGCAGAGGTCTTGGTTTCATAGATTAATAATCTACATTTCATCTTCTGTTTTTAATGTTATTGTTTTATAAATAATTATTATCTAAAAAGACAAATGCAAATGTTGAAAGATCTTGATAAAATAACTTCATTGGTATTTTAATAGAAAATGTTTTTTTCATGAAGCTGACAGTTACCCCTGATATACACGGTGAAAATATTTCGTATTCATGCCAAATTCTACCATCCACAGTTCTAGTCTAAAAATAAGCAAAGTATTTGTTTTGTATAGCATTGTTCATGCACATTGCATCTCACAATCGCTGAGGAGCCACAGAACAGCTGAGAGGCTGCCAGGCGCGGTGAGCTGCCATGAACAATTGCTCTACAGCGTGGTTGTTTATACACGTGGGAGGAAACCAGAGCACCCGGAGAAAGCCCACATGTGAGGGAGCAACATCTTGTCCCATACAGAACGAACAAGATATCACGCCACACTTTGCTCTACTGCGTTCTGCTGGCAAGCGAGGGTATTGCCCCTGGATGCCCATGGAAAGGAAGTTGCTCAACATATACCTGGTCCACCATCCCTCGCTTCCAGCATCAAACAACCGCAGGCAGGGGGCAGATCATCTGCAGCCTTTGCTTGTTTGGCCTGAAGTCTCTCCCATACTCATTTTTACCAAAATTATCTTGTGGCGCACGTCTGGCTCCACCTCCCCTCCGGATGGGGTGGCCAGTGGAGCTGTAAAGTGGGCCACCATACCAGTCATTCGACTGTGAAGGAAAGTGAACCTAGGTGGCAAATGATTTGTTTTGGATATTTGGTGGTGTAGGACCCACTGCAACACCCTCCGATTGCCAGTCCAGTTGTGGCAACACGTCTCAAGGTCACAGCCTCTGTTTTTTGAGGTGTTCATCACCTTCCTCTATGGCCACTGCTGGGCATGGTGACAGGTTGAAGACGAGGATTGGTGGATTTTTCTGATTTGTGAAACTATAATACCTACTGCATTTTGAGGTGGCCATAAAATGGCATGAAAGGAAATGGCTTCTTTATATCCATATATGTTAACGTTTGAGTGTTGTATTCTCATACGTGTGGGCTTTCTACGGGAATTCCTTCCACATGCAAAACACTATTTGAAGTGAATATGGCTAAACATGGCTATGCTGGACTTTCCTCAACATGAGTGGAACGCTCAGAAATTCATATTTATTGCACGTGGCAGTAACATTTAACACATGCCTAAGTCTTGGACAATGCACTTTATCATCGCCATGAGTTGTTGTACTGTAGTTGAATTGGGTCCTAATTTGTGTTGTGCGTAACAGCAGGCTCCTGGCACAAGGCTCGATGCCAACCCTGCTTTGCGGAGGAACTCAGGCGATAAGCCTGTGGTGGTGTTTGAGCGCAGCAATAGGGTGGTGCTTATCAAAGCCAATGTGATCCATGTGCCTAAGCCTGGAAGCCTTGTGAAGCAGCCACAGCCTGCAACCAACGCTCAGCTGGGATCAAAAGCCAACATCCCCTCATCAACATTTTACAATACAGGTAACGTCTACACACTAGCATGAAAAGGTTTTTTTTTATTGTAGAGGTGGCCTGATTAGCCGTAAAGGACAAGCTCATTGCATTTTTAACAAGACCAACTATTAGTATATTTTGGTATTAGCAAAGGAGGCCTCATGATGTAGATCCTTACCCCGAGCTCTCATTGCTCTGATAGTGCGTTGTCTTTGAACTGTGCGCCTTTTGGCGTCATCTGGTCGAACACCATATGAGACGAGGCTCTAAAGAAAGCTGTCTCTGGTGTGGACCACTCAATTTCAAGGACAATGCATAAATTATCAGAGTATTGTTTTTTATTTGCATTTGACTGCAAGTATTGTGGTTAATGTTAACATATTTCCTTGCACAAGGTGTCAGTTTTGTTGCCACAGAAAAGGGGAAAACCCCTATTAGTTTCAAGACCAACTAAATTGTATACAATTCTGAACATTTGGCAGGAGCCATTGAAGTAGTAGCCCTGAGCCAGTGCTGAAGATTTCACATTGCTTGAATAGGGACCAGTGTACAGCACAATCACTGTTGATTTTTCAACAAATGGCACTTACCAATTGGTACCAATTTTACTGACCTTGGAGTAATATAACACACATCTTCAATTAGTTTCTCTTTTTAAATTATTTGGAATGCATTGTTGTTCCAAAACAAGAATTTGCCTCTTGCCGTCAGACTGATACATGTTAGCCTTCTGAGCAGAGATAGCATAAACTGCCTTAGTACCATTTAGCATGCAACCAGGCTTAGAACCATTGTTAACTGGGGCTGTCTCACGATTGCAAATCCCTGTCATTTCCAAATACTGGTTTTGTTGGTTCAGGCTGTTTAGTTTGGTGGTAAAACTAAGTCAAATGTTATGCTGAATTAGGAATCTTAAAATATACACTCACCAAGCCACTTCCTGTTGTTTTCAACAACAATCAGGTTATACAGTGCTATTAACAGAACGTGAGCTTAGAATAGCGGTCGTTAAACTGATTACAAGACATGCAAGTACCAGACATTTTATATTTCTAGCAAGAGACAGATGTGTCCTGTCATGGTCTGGTGCTGTGATACAACACTGTAAGGCGATCTGTGTTCAGCCTATGGGTCATATGTTGTTGGACTTGTAACGAGTTGGTAATATCTTGTAGGCTTCTTGTGAGATAGAATAACTGATTCAAACTTTCTATCCCCTTCTCTCACAGCAGCTACCTACACATTTTTTACAGCATTTAGTTTTTTTATGAAGCATGGCGATAGGATTTTTGAACAAGATTATCCTTTTAAATGTATCATTGCAACCTTTCCTACTCCATAAGCTATTTAAATTGTTGTATTATTGAGTAAGGATGTGATTTGTGGCAGTCCTGGAAACGAATGGTTATGGGAAAGTGTTAGTGAAACACTTAGATATTAGTAAAACACTTAGATATTATCATGTGTTATGAGAAACACAGTCCCTCTGGGCTGCAAGGTGGCTAAGTCATGCTCGTAGAGTAAATGTGTTGGTGTGGTCTGTGCAGAGTTTTACGCGCTATCTCCTTTCCAGACTTTGTCTTCTCTCAGTACAATCGGTTTCCTCCAGCATGTAAAGGACTTCGAAATAATCACGAGCCAAAGATTTAAATGTGGGTTCTTCCTCAAAAAACGTTTGAGTCTCAGTGAGGCTCCCCTGAAAATAATAATGAGGATATATTTGAATAAATTTTAATCTTACAATTTTCAGGGAAGCTTCATCAGTAAATATTGTTGTTTATAGCACTGCTCTTAATGCAATCTTTTATTTTGTTTTTCAGCCAATAAGCAAAAAACAGATTCCACCATGAACAACAAAAAAGACACGGTGACCAAAGATAAGAAGCCAGAGTTAAAGAGAAAATCAGAAACACCCACACCTGCTCCCAATGACAAGCTCATCCGGAGCAACGTGCGCCGTTCACTCGGAGACATCTTTGCAAAAAGGTGAAACAGGAACAATCGTTTGATTTTGTGTAGGGTTCTTATGGGCGCTATATCCATCACAATCTATATGGGACCATCACGATGGCACATTCTCCTAATCCATTGCTTTGGGGATGTGTGCTGCACATCTGAACTGTGATAACCCCAAGCCTTCATGAATATGAGGTGGCCACTAGATGGCAGTGAATTAAGTAGGTCAATGACATTTGTCTTAATTTCAGTGTCCTATATTTTGGGTTTCATCCTGATACTTGTTTTTGCACAGATGTAAAAGTAAAACTTTATAGTGGAAGTTGACCAAATATCTCAAACATGGTCTTTGTAAAATTGTTTTGGGATTCATTGAGGCTTTCCTTTAAAAAATGACATCAAACAGTTTTCCCATTCATATGATCATGGGTTGAGGTTCAGAGCCAGTAGTGGAAACTCCACATTTCTATGGTAGGGGATTGTCAATTCATATTAAAATATATCTCAACACGTTAGATAGTGACGAGTCTGCACCTATTGAGATCTGCAGACAGTTTGAATTTGTGCATACATTTGTTTTTTTGAGCATGGACTTTAAACAGTACAAAATAAGCGTCTGGGGTTAGTACAGCACCAAATGTTGTGTAAACCACTTAATGTGTCCTGAATGTGTGTCCAACATTACATATTTATATTCTTGGTTCTTTTGGTAAAGTCACGTAGATAGAAAAATAATAATTAAAAAAAAATTTGTTATATATATGTCTTTTTTTAAATCTACGTGACTTTACCGAAAGAACCAAGAATATGAATTCCTGTAGTCACGAAAGTTTTAAGTCAAAATTACATATTTACTATTTACAAGGCATGTAGCAATGCTTCGACTCATTAATTAAAATCTATTCCCGTGCTCAACATACACGCATTGAATCAATAATTTGAGAATCAATTTACGATTCATGCACATTATAAGCCAATGTTATACTTTTGGCTCATGGGGTAAGTACATGGTACAAATTATATAGACACAAGAGAAACAATGCAAATAAGTAAAAAAAACTTGGCAGAATTTATTGATTCTTGAGTTGATTAGTGTCCAAAATTTTTGTTATTTCTTTTATTTATTATCTGCCGAATATTTACCAAAACTCAAGCACAGCACAGATGTCTTAACACCCACTAGCCCACCCCCTCCTTCTGATCGATTGTGGTGTGCAGCATGACACCACCTTTGCCTCACTGACCCTCACTGCACTTCACCCCTCCTACTGTCTCCTTCTGCTATTGACATTTGCCATTCTAGGAAAATGTATTCCAGCTTCAGTAGCACACAGCCAGTGCCTGTGTTGGTTTTTAAACACTTCAGATATTCGTTGCCCTGCTGTAATGTCACTTGTGTGTCAATGAAAGGGTTTACCGATCGTACAATTTCATTTTCGAGAGAGTCGTGCATTGGTATGTTTGGCCAGTTCCTTTGAAACATTGTTTCGCATTTCAGAGGAATCTTGAGCACCAAGAAAAAAACCCATGTATGTAATATGGTAACACTGAAAGGTCCACACAAATGGGTTCATTAATCCTTTTAGCCATAATACCATCTCCTGGCCACCTTGCATCCCAGTGTCTTTGGGGAGTGATCAATCCCTTATCTCTAAGATTGAGTATTTATTAATTGTTCATGAACCCTGAAGGGGTGCTGGACTAAACTGCCTCTGAGTGAGCCTCAAATAATTGTGAGTTTTTCTCACTAACCACAGCACCATCTGGGCTAGTCAGTATTATCACCTCTGCTTTTTTTGACTAGGATGAAAGACACAAAGAGTCTGAAAATTTCAGAAGATGAAGCATTAAAAGTGGCGGATGAAATTGAGAAGGAGCTATATGCCCAGTTTCAAGATACAGACAGTAAATATAAGAACAAGTATCGGAGTCTCATGTTTAACCTGAAGGACGCACGGAATCACGTATGTTTACACATGCATCATCATGAACACCGTTGCCTGTCTATTTTGGCAGAGCCCACAATATCTTAATGTGCCATCAGCTTTGTGTTAACACATTTGTATTAATCGATACATTTTGACAAAGCTTTGTTTTAGTAATGATATAACCTAGGAGCGGTCTCAGATGAGCTGATGCACCTGCGTTCACACTTATACAAATTAATTTAATTGCTTGCCATGACAATGGACACTGTAAGTGAAATGATGCAAAGGCAAAGTTGAAGAGTAACCTCTTCCGAACAACTTAACTGCCACATAAAGTATCTACTGAGTCTCATCAGCTTTCACCTTTGACGCCTCCTCCCTCGGGCTGAACGATTAATCGATTTCAAATCGAAATCACAATTTGAAACAATGCGATTAGCAAATCGCAAAGGCTGCGATTTATTGCGATTTTAAAAGTCCTATTACTTTCCTATTGGAATTGTTTAATTTAGTATTATTGTAACTTTATTTATTTAACTTTACAATTGTACTATTTCAATAAAAAATTGTAATAAATACATGTTGGAAGCAATTCATATCTTTTAAGTTTTCATCTTTGCATTATAATGTATAGAGCAGTTCATATTTTGATGGTATCATGTGGTAATGCTCCATCACATGTTTTAAATCTATTACACAGTGAATATTGAACTGAAGCGTGACTTAATTTTTTTTTATCACAAATCAAATCGCAATCGCAATATCTGTCAGAAAAATCGCGATTAGATATTTTCCCCAAATCGTTCAGCCCTACTCCCCCCCCCCCCTGCCTGCCTCGATCTCACCCTGCTGATTACAAAACAAACATTGCGTGAACTCTGCTAATTGTCATTATGCTGTTTAATTGAGACTTGGGCAGTACTCAACCGTATTAGTGATTCCAAGTCTGTGGTGGACGTTTATAATTCTAAGGGTTGGAACAGATCTTTCTAGGATAACATTTCATAAAGTTGCACTCATGCTATTAATCATAGGGGTTATGAACGGCTGACCGAACACCCAGTTGGATTTGTACTCGCATCCTTGTGATTGTGAGTCACAATTCAGCAGGAGTCTTAACATGGAAACAGCATGTTGATGTGCACAGAATAACTTTTTATTGTCTTGAAGACTTTTTTGTCCTTAAGTTTTGATTTCCTCAGGGGTTAGTTTAAAGTTATAATATTTACGGATAGTAATTTGAGTTGAGAATAAATATTGGAGAATAATTATTTTATGGAAATTGTGTGCAGAATGTTGATATTGTGTTTATTTTTGTAGGGCTTGTTCCGTCGGGTTTTAAGACGTGAGATCCCACCACACAAGCTGGTTAGAATGAGCCCTGAGCAGCTCGCTTCCAAGGAACTGGCTGAGTGGCGTGAAAGAGAGAACAAACATGTAAGTCTATTCCATGATCAACCTTCAAAATGCTCTTTTGTGAACTTTCACGTTGACGGCTACATTGCTGAAGCCACTTTGAAAGCAATAGGCATTCACCGAAATGTACTAAACTCAAGTTTAATTGAGAGACTTCAACTGTTTGCCGTGAAAACTCATGTTAAATAGGTGTATGTAATTTACTTTGTTGGGACATATTTGCTTGAACTTGAAACTTTATATTTGGGCATCAGGAGAGTTTTGGTATGCTACTTCGATTTCTTTCTCCGCAATGACATAGGGCAAATAATCTAACATTGTGTCCCCAGTTTAAGTCATAATGTCATTTTCAGTCATTTGCTAATCAGCTGGATCAAGACATCCCCTACTCGATCTTGATTGTGGGGTTTGATTGACCAAACTTCATATTGCTCATTGTGGGTCGGTGAAGGGAATCCAATACATTGACTACCGATGTTAGTCGTGGTCAGGAATGGAACAGTGCACAAACCACCGTCATCACACCAATCAATTAATCTGGTATACTATTGGGATGGGTGCTATTAAACAGTGTTATAATAAAGGTATGCTTGGGATACATATTAAATATGTAGAGTACTTAATTCTAAGCTTCATATTTGTATTTTTTCATGGACAAAAAATGCATATTTAGATAAGCAGCGCTTTTTCAAGTACATCCATAGCCCAAGACCGTCAGCAGTCGTGTCAGTTACAGGACATTGCAGTGAGGGAATATACAAGAGAAAAACTTAAATATTCATCAACATACGATAAATAATTCATGTTTAAATGCAAATAAAATATTAAGTTAAAAAATCATATCACATATATGCAAATTATCCATATATGGAGCATCAGACATACTGTAGCATATTCGCATTTTGAATCCTGGCAGAGGTAATTCAGTAGTATGGCCTTAAAGCACATGCTAGAGAAGGTAAATTAGGAATATTAAGATTTTAATTTAAAGCTTTCGTGACTGCAGGGATTCATATTCTTGGTTCTTTCGGTAAAGTCACGTAGAAGGGAAATAATAAAATAATAATAAAAGGGAAATACTAAAATAATAAAATAATATTTTTATTATTTTCCTTCTACGTGACTTTACCGAAAGAACCAAGAATATAATATTAAGATTGTTTATGAAAAAAATCCAAGGGTTAAGTTGGCCCTCTGAGTTGGGATTTAAACTTATAACCTTGCGATTGTGAGTTGTATCTTCTAAATAAACCACCCAAAATAGGTAACACATTTATCAGGACTAATAAGTAAAGTCAATGAATACATTGCTACATAATAGATTGTGACATTACACACCCTATCATAAACAGACTTCCTTATTTTCGTTGATAAAGTGACAGAAACCATTCTTGCATAACAATAACATTTTAAAAATGATTCCATACATGAGTTGGTGTTAATGGTTCCTTATGAAAGTGAAGGCTGCAAACCCATTAACGATTTTGTATACATTGTGTTAAGCTGAGGACACATTAACGAAATGTGAAACATTGCTTATAGAAGGTTATCTCGAACCTTGTATGCCTTTATGGAACTTTTGTCGACAAGTAATATGAGCAGTTCTTGTATGTCTTTTGCAGAGGGTGTTTTTCGATGGGCTGTAGTCTTCTTTGTGACTTTTGGTCTTTTGGCTTCATGCTGAAAGAGACAGCTGCTCTTTGTGCACACGATATCCATTCCAAACACAGTAGAGGTGACTCGGTGGCTTTAGGGTAGTGTGCCCATCTTTTGCAGTGCAACATTTGCTGGTTTGCACCCTCCAGCAGTGTTGCAGGCAAATAATCGTAAATCATGCCGTCCTTTACAGTATACATGAAGCATGCAGTTGTGTTTGCTTGCTTGTGGGCAGTGTACATCCATGCATTACATTTCACAAGGAAAAGGCTACTCTCGTAGACAAAACAACCACCCTTTGGACTGTGATAGATAAACACTCCTGGCTGAAACATAACACAAGCTCTTTAAAAAAACTATGCTATGTAGCCGAGGGAGATTGCTCTGTTTACAATTAGTGAAATAATCCCTTGATTTAAAATATCCCACGGAGTTGCATGAGAGATAAACTTAGTCATAGTTCTTTACTTGAATCGATTTCACCTCGATCTATGTGGGCAACTACATCAAACTGAGGAATAATCGTCAGAAACATACATACTATTTTCCAAAATAATATCTGAGGCAAGTTTTAGCCGATGGTGATGGAGGCTTGTGTGTTTGTGTGAAGAGCGTCACAGTGGTTTGCATGCTGCTCAGCATTAGGTGACATTGCGTTATGTTCCTAAAGAAACACATGAGAAGCAAATTGTCTTTGGACCTGTCCTGGGCCTTGCATAGTTTGACAGAGCTCTAAATTAGTACCGAGGGTGATTTTTGAATGCTACTCCGAGGGAATCGAGGAAAATGGCTGTGGTGTTGGTCACACTTCTGTTTTGTGCCCTGACGATTTTGGGCAGTCACCAGTATTAATTGTCCCAACTAGCTGTAAGCCTTCAGCAGGGTGGTATTGTCTTTTCCAATTCAAAAGGTAATTTGGGTAATGCAATACATGCAATTTTTATTGCAAAAGTAGAAGTGTGACTACATCAACAGTACAGTTGTTGCTAATGCAACCATTGGACATTTGCAAAGGATTTGGAACTAGAAGCTTAGTGGTAAGCATTATTTTTACATGAATCATGTTTTTTTCTTGTTGTGTGTATGCAGACACTAGAAATGATTGAAAAGGAGCAAAGAGAAATCGAGAGAAGACCAATTACCAAGATAACTCACAAGGGAGAAATTGAAATAGAGGAATCTACTCTGCAAACTGCTGTTGAGGTCATTCTCAATATCCCACAAGCATAGGTGTAATTTGTGTAAACTGAGGATTTGCATTTAAATGAATTCCTTATTTAAATAAGTGTAGCGCTATGTTACTGTTTTAATTAAGAGTAAAGGTAGCCTTCATACGGCATATCATTGATTATGTACATTTAGCTATGGTGGCGATTGAACACATTTAAATGCCCCTTAAAAATGTGCCGATGGAATAAAAGCAAAACAAAGTGGCTTATACATTGACTTTATTTTGCAGGAGTCTACTGACAGCGAATCCACACTGACTGAAGAAACTGAAACAAAAGTGCATGTTGATACCACTGAGCAGCATAAACTTCACCTTTTTGACCTTAATTGTAAAATATGCACAGGTAAGTTCTCAGTGTATTTGTGGTTTACATGAGACCTCCAAAAATTTTAATTTCTATATTTTTTTTTACCCTCAAACGTATCGAGATTGTGCTATCGGCCTCATGTCATAAGATGTAAAATCCAATTGGATATCTGCAGAGCAATGCAACCCTTTGTGTCAAAGAACAGACCATTGAAGTAGATATTGCAGAGCTACTTCTGAGATATGTCCAGTTACCTTTGGTCCACACACAGAGGGCAGGATTTCTCACTTGCTCAGCAGATGAATGATGTCTGTTGCGTGACATTCCAATAATTTTTTTATTATCAGTCCTGGAATTTAGGCAAATTAAGGGCGGAACCAATGTTAATGTGATGGGTTTTTTGTGCAGTCTTAGATGACTGCACTAAGAATATCAGCTCTCTATACTAAATCAATTTTAATCACAAACGCCTGCCTAGATTTGAACCCAGGGTCTCAACGATGCCAGCTCAGCACCCTGGCCTATGAGCCACCCGGCCACCTCATGAAACCATGATTAATAGTCACAATGTATATTTGTATAATAATGTACATTTAAATTGTATGTTAAGACACAATTTAAGTAGGTTGGTGCGTGACAGTGATCACATTTTGTGTAAATATATATTTGAATCATTTATAAAAATTTAAGTACAGGGTTAGAGAGACACTGTCTGTAGCATTACATTTCTTATTTAAGTTAGGCCACTTGGGAATGGTTTCGTACACCAAATATGGTCTATGCTTCGGCCCTGCAGTGGGTGTTTGTTACTTGACAATCAGACGAAATGTTCGAAGTTATTAAGTTAATCTAAAAGACAATTTTATAATGATGGGCTTTTTTTAGTGTGCTAACACCGATGCCCAGTTTGAGACCATCAGCACGCAGCACTTAAGAATAAATACAAATTCACAGCTTTGTTTACTTAGCATTTTCACATGAACAGTCAGCTAAATCTACAGTGATATTCTTAAGGAGGGTTGGTGAAGTTAAATGGGATGTGATACAACTGAACAGATTTTAACCTGAGATGTGTCTGAAAGCAGTAAACATTAAAGTTGGAAGTACATAAATCTTGTACGAAGTAAATTTAAAGAAAAGTAAACCATAAGTACATGAATTGGAATGTCTTTCCTTCCCTTCCCTTCTACAGGTAAAGTAGCACCGCCTGTTGAGGAACCGTCAGCCAAAAAAGTGAAAGTCGCCACATCTGTTATACTGGCAACTAAGAAAGCTGCCGCAGAGTTTGAATCAGCCGCTGTGACTGCACCTGGTCCATCTAAAGCAGATGCTGGAACCGCCAAGTCAGCAGTTAGTGTGTCTGCTTCATCACGCGTGAATGCCAACCTGGAGGAACAGCAAACCAAGTCCCCAGTGTCTGTTCTAGCTGTCAGGTACATTGCATGGGAGCACGATTACAACAGGCATATATGTACCTGAAAAACACACTACATATGCTCATTGTAAATAAATTAAGAGCCGTTGCAGAACCACTGGATTATATTTGCGTTTAAAAATGTGTACATTTGATAGGTCGGCAGAGCAGTCAGCAGGTGATTGCAGGGCCTATTCCTTCTTGGATGACATCTGGAAGGGCTTTGTCAACATGCAGAATGTGGCCAAGTTTGCCACAAAGGTGTTTGCAGTGTCCGGATCTTGTGACCACATGGCAGAGGTAACTGTCGGCTCATGTATGGAGACAAAAACCATTAAAATACAATATGTGGAATGCATTTGCTTTTGTCTATATCATATCAAATATTGTTACAGCAATGAAGTAATTTTATTCTGGTAAGGATTCTTATTACATAATATATATTTTTAGGACCTTCCGGACACAATTGAAGTTGGTGGCAGGATAGCCCCAAAGGTCGTCTGGGATTACCTTGAAAAAGTAAAGGCTACAGTGACTAAGGTAATCCATTTTCATGATTTCTTTTTCAAGTCAAAAAGGCAAAGTATTTCCCCATGCTTATAAAAGCAATAAATGGGGCAGTGATAATTTCCTTGTGTGACCAAAATCCCAAATTTCCATGACGGCTTGATTTCTCCATAGCAATGCCCACTGTTGACTTCCCACGGATATGTTTCCTTTTTTACCCAGAAGAATGATGGGCTAATTCAATTGCAAGAGAAACACTGCCGCAGAGTACTTCTCATGCTTCATATGTACATGGAAACACTGCGGGTGTTTTAACCGTTAAATAGACGCCGTCTGCTTCGCCGTTGATGTTAAAGATCCAAATAAGTCATTCGAACAAGTGTATACCATGAAAAATACTTGCAAATTACTTAATGGATGAAGCCACACGTGCAACATCACCCCTCCTGGCAGACTGTGCCCGTCTGTCTTGTGTCTCAAGAATGGTGGGAATACCAAATGCAATAAATTATTAAATGCCCAAAATAAGGCAAACTTTCAATGAAGTAAAGACGTGGCTAAAGTTGAAACCATGAAAACATTTAGTCTTACAAGAGAGATGCCAGATTAATTGGTCGTCATAATAGAAAATATTTCCATAGGCACATTCCTGTATTATACTGTTTTCATGGGTAAGGGTTTATCGGTCACAGATTTGTGTTGGGTGCCAAAAACCCCTGGGCTGTAAAGTTACCAGGATATGGGGGACTTTTTGGTTATTATCTCCCCTTGCATGGATTGTCTCTCGGTGCTTCATTTTCTGACAAGGAAAAACATTCCTTAAATCCCGACCCATTTCACGACTCCTCTGAGAACGAATATTTAGATTTGAGACGCCTGAGTAAATATAGTACATGTTGTGCTTCCAATACAGCTTTTAGTTTTTAAAACATGATTTCTATTACTGATGAAATATCGGGCAACATTCATATGAACCTTACTCGACCTTTGCTCCGCAGACTCAGGTTTGCATTATAGTATAGCCTCATTCCACCATTTGCTGTTTATGAGCTCTAATTATTACCTCTACCGAGCTACATCCCACACCCCCTCTGGCAACAAGTGGAGTGCACATGGTCATGCAACAGCCGTAGATGCCCCCCCCCCCCCCACAACAGTGGCAGAAGAGTGGTTATTGCGGCGCATCTGGTGCAATTAATGTATGCTATACACACATCCTGTGTAGAGGGAAACGCAACAATTCTGCCATCACCCTCGTGGGACGGTGGATTGAGATTCTGGGCAGGATATAAACTGAAAATGTCCCTATCTCTGGTCAGCCTATCTCTAGTGTGTTTGTTCCATACACTCAATACATGCATACACTGACGTACACACATACATAGCCTGCATAGACTGTTTGGGGTAGCAGCTGTTTGCGAGCACATAATGAAAATGTAACGGTTTGTTACGCGCGCAAATTTCACGAAACGGACATTGTTTGAGCGCAGACTTGGCGGCCCAGAGCATAGCTTATTTATTATTTGTATGACGGTCTGAACAAGTGTGGTGCCTTTCAGCCCAATTCTGAAGGTAGGAGGGGGAGTTTGAATGCTTCGCATGTGGAGAAAGCTCCAGATGATAGGAGCAGCCATGGACAAACACCACTCGGCCAAGACAATCCTGGTTCTGAGGACGATCAGCAAATCTTGGGACATTCTCTGTAGAACATGGCGCCTCTCTGTGGTCAGGTTTAAGCAGAGCGAAGAGATGTGAAGAGTGAAATGGCACACAAGGTGGTGGTTTGGCGAGCACCATGGCCAAATCCATTTTAATCCCCAATCCTAATGTTTACAAATGCACCAAATATTAATTTAAGGCTGAATCATCCTAAGGGAGTGCCAGGACCATTAAGGATATCACTCACCACTAACAATTCGGGTCACAAGGTTTTTTTGCAGTGCACAGCTCCCCATACACTCGCAAAGACCAACATGCATTTCCACGCAAGTGCACATACACAGCAGCAACATTAACAGCCTCATTACCAGCAGCAGCAGCAGCAGCAGCAAAAAACCACATCAACAGCAGTGGTGGGTCTCGTGGGGAGACTGGCCCCTGCCATGAGAATGTATAATTTCTACTGCTGATTCACGACCACCTATTTAGATGAGCACCACATGTGCACAGGTACATGCACATACCTACACAGGTGTGTGTTTCATCAATCTTAGCCTGATGGTTGGCCCATGGGTATGGGTGGGGCTTGTGTCTTGATAAAATTAAGCAGCAATGGCACCTTTCCATCACTCCACTCCTAAAATTGGATTGTCAAGCAACATGCGAATAAGCCCTCCCACCAAATTCCGTGGGCTGGGGGGGGGGGGGCAAAACACCACAATCATGAAGAGTAAAAATATGCCTTGGCAGGCAGTTTCCTGGTTGCGGGACTACCAGACCTATTTTTTCATGTGAAAGTTTCAGCGTGGCATTTTCTCTCATTTTTAAGTGGGGTTTATTTTACTTCAATCTTTTGAACACATTTTTCTTGAATGATAATACACTGCCTGTCACGTATCAAAGAGTAAATTATTTAATCGTTGAGGCCATGTAAGAGCATACTGATATAAATGGGTGTTTTACAGGTAGGAACAATGTTCCACACTGCCCACCAGGGATTTTTTGTCTGTCTGATTGTCGGTCGTGCATAAATATATATATAATATAAACAGCTCTTTGATTGGTGGAGACCTACTGCCGGGTACGGAGAGGGGAGGTGCCGGAGGGAGGAGGGTCAGGGGAGGGGCCTAAGGGAGGGGGGAGTCAGCGGAGGGGCCTCAGGGAGGGGGTCAGGGGAGGGGCCTAAGGTAGGGGGGGTAAAGGGAGGGGCCTAAGCAAGGGGTAGGGGCCGATAGTTAAGGGGGCTGGTCTACCTGGCTGGCTGCCTGGCTACCTCAAGTCACGTGATCTTGTACACAGGTAGGAACAACAGGTTCCACACTGCCCACCAGGGATTATTTGTCTGTCTCGTGCATATTTGTCTGTCGTGCACGAATGCGCTGTCCAACCAGGTTCCTACCTGCCCACTCTGAAGGAACGTGTTTACAGAACAAAAGTGTTAATATATCATGCTTGTCACATGCATGCATAAATATGTAGCCTTCTTAGCTTTGACCTAAATGTCATTGGCTTTCAGAATCTGAAGCATGCATACATATTTAGCCTTGTCAGCATTGGCATTGATGTAATATGCCTTCAGAATCAATATTTAGTATCGGATTGATCAAAATATTCCTTGCTTGGCACAACATAATGTAGTTATAGTCAACTTATTTTATTTCTTGAGCAAGTGTCTTTTCACATTGCGAGACCTTTTGTCAAATACATTTCATCTCGTATATTCATTGAACATCACATATCCATTGTCTCACATTGTTGGAATATGTAGTTGGATATTTATCTTCTGGTTTTTCCGTGCATAGCCGGTTTTTCAGCCCTTTTGTATGTCCACTGATGGATGAATGACCCACCCAAGTTCACTTGACCTGCTTGATGCCATTCCTTAAAGTGGGTGTATAATACCAAATGTAATACATTACAACTTCAAATTATTAGATAAAACATTTTTTATTCCCGTCTGCAATCAAAATGTAGCTTTTTGTAATTTTAACTTCGACTACACATTCTTTATGCCAAAATTAGAATCATTGTGTATTACACATGCAGAATATTAAACTTCTCATTAGTCATTTGCAAGGTTATATTGTGTCTTAATAGTGCAGCAGAATTCTGGCAATTCAGCACTTAATCCTGTCGCGTATATTGTCAAACATTTAGGAGTTAGATTTTGATTTAAAGCTTTCGTGACTGCAGGGATTCATATTCTTGGTTCTTTTAGTAAAGTCACGTGAAAGGGAAATAATGAAATAAAATAAACATTTTTTACGTGACTTTACCGAAAGAACCAAGAATATTTAGGAGTTAGTTTCAACTTTGTTCGTTCTTTGTTTTCGCCAGGAGATCTGCTTGCTTCGCTTTTACCCAGCCACGGAGGAGGAGAAAGTGGGCTACGTGTCACTCTTCTCCTACTTCAGCAGCCGCAACCGCTTTGGCGTTGTCGCTAACAACTGCCAGTATGTGAAGGACATGTACCTCATCCCTTTGGGAGCATATGACGATGTGCCAGAGAACCTGCTGCCTTTGGACGGCCCAGGTGAGATGACGGTCAATGTTCGATGTGTTAATGTGACGGCGCATGCCTGCAATCCAGCTCCGTGCAGGTGGGGTTAGTAGATCGTGCATGTTTCATTATGCGTTGTGAAATATGCGGGAGATGTGATATGTCCACTTGGTGGCAGCAGAGAAAGGGGGTGGATACCTTTCCATGGAGATAGACTAAGCATTGTCCTGGAGTATTTCCATTTATTTAAAATACCCAGACATTTTCATGGAATCCTACATTCAAGACCCTCTTGAAATAAAATTCATAATTCTTTTTTTTGGGGGAAAATGGAATTATTTGTATGATTTGGATTGCCATTTATTACTTCTAGCATTTAAAATTACCGCCTGTATTGACCATTTTCATACGTCTTTAATCATCATCATCAAACTTTTCTTCTCCATTGTATTCTTGTGCAGATGCAGTTGATTTGATGTCGATATGTGTGACCCTGCCTTATATCTCTCCTTTTGGTTATACCAGGGGTCGTCAACAACAATAACAGCATTTTTTTTAATCGGTAAAAAACTCTGTCAAGGGCAACAATGCATGTGAATGCAAGACGGTCCTTAAATAAAGTCACGAAGCAGTCCGTCCTTAGAGCCACATGCAGCCTTGGAGCCACGGGTTGCCGACCCCTGGGTTATACTTTTGAGCATCCTCCCACTGTGCCACACCATCAGTATCCTTTTTCAAAGGACATTGCCTCTCACAGCAAAGTGTCTTTATCAAGCATATTTTTCCTAATGTCTTTTTATATATGTATACTCTTAGATATGAATTCAAAACCCGTCTGTCAAACGATTTTATTTGATGCATCTTGTCATCCTCGTCTGCATGGCTTTCAGGCTGTGATCTATTGTGTTTTGTAAAGTGACAATTTTATTGATCCATATGTCATACCTGGCAGTGTGCATTTTTCTTTGCATTGGCCAGCATTGTAAAATACCAGCATGACTCGCAGGTGTGGCCAATGTAGTTAATTTGATGATTAATAACGTACGTACAGTTTGCATTAAAACTACGGACATAAACCTGACAATGTCACTCAAAAAGACCCATCATTTGTTACGTACCTTACCGAACTTTAGTGTAGACACAGAATTGGCAGTGGTAGCAATTACTTGATTATATTTTTTTGTAGAACATTGGTTATGAAGTCAACCATATGAAATTTAAATTGACAGCCCCTTTGTGAGTCCACTGCTGGGGAAAGGCCCTTGCCAAGCCCTTTTTGTGGCACATTTTGCTTTTACCATTCTTCACACTGGTAAGTGTGGGTTGGTGACTACTGATGTTAGCCATGGTTTGGAATTGAACTCAAGGCAACTCAGTTTAAGCGCAGTTTACTAATAACCGTGTCACCGATCCACTCCACCATATATTAATTTCACAATGTAAAAGCGATCAGTATTCATTGTCATTGATTCTTTAATGGGATGTCCCAACATATTAAGGATATCTGTTACAATTATAATGCACACTATTATGAAAGATAGGTTAAGCTTTTGAGCATTGATTGTCAATGCAATGTATGTATATATCTGTAATCGAGTTTTAGATGGACCAGACATAATATCACCTGCGTAGAATCCAGCACCTTGGAGATGGGGTTGGTGGCTCATACAAAGATTAATTATCAAGTGCTATGGGACTGCCAGGTTATTGGATTAATAGATAGTCAAGAGATGAAAGTATGTCAAATGGGTTTTGTCACATGTGGATTTTTATTAGTATAATTGCACCTGCATAGGTGTTGTCCAAGTTCTTAACTTAACCTCTCACACACAAAAAAAGATTATTCTGTAAAAAAAAAAGTCTTGAATCAATGAGGTTTTCGTGCATTAACAAAGAATCGTTGTTTTCCTAACATACTTATCTTCTGAAATTCGTTCGTCTTCAGGATTGGAGCAGACGCGACCGAACATGCTACTTGGGCTGGTGGTGCGGCAGAGATCAAAACGGAGGCTGCCAGGCGAGCATCCCTTCGACGCGCCAATTCTTTATGACAAAGAGCACACGATTCTGAACAGTCCCGATGATAAGCAGAAGCAAGTGAGCTCTTTTGAAAATGAATACCACCACTCCATTCCAGAGAATGATAGCATTGGAAGATTAACTAAGTATTCAGAAGAACCAAGCAACTCCTCATTTGTTGAAGATGGCATATCACCACTGATATCTATGTATTCTGCAACGACGACAGGATTCTATGGGACAAGCGATTACACTACAAATTCTCTACCACTGCCTCCGTCTCCACCACCGTATGTTCCAGAAAATAATGTTGACCCAATTGTCCAGAATTTTGCAAATTTGGGTGAGACTGTAGAAGAAGAGCATAACACCGATGATGATGAAGCTTATGACCCTGAAGATGAAACACTTTTTACAGACAACACCCGGCGTTTTGGCCAAAGCTCAGGCATGCTGTCAGTACGAGACAAGCCTCCTGACATGTCCATGGACACCTTTCTTGATACCATTGTTCCACCGGCGAATGTCAGTCTCTCGGAACAACAGACAATTCTGGATAACCTCAAGAGACAGATTGCTGAGGAGAAGCGGAAGCTCGAGGAACAGGAGGCGAGTCTTCGACAAATGCCGCCACTGCCTCTCCCGCCTAACGCTGCGGAGAATGTGGAGAGTTTGTCCGTCCAGGTGAATAAAAGCAGGGACCCACGGCAGTCGGGGCTCGCTAAGCAACCGCAGCTGCTGAACAAAGCCGAGCCAAGTGCCGTGGCTTCTCACAGCTCGAGTGACGCTGTCTCAAACCAGCGGTATGAGCCTGCAAACGAAGGTGCAACTGAAGTCAAGGGCAAAGGTGTGGCACCGAGTCCACAAAGCTCGCACCTCTTGGCTAGTAGACATGACGCGGATCCAAAAAGGGATTGGAGAGACTCGAAACAACCGTCGAACTTGAGCCAGAGTGAGAAGCGGTCTGGTGCCGACAAACCTTCAGAGCCCTCCGGTTCGGGAAACTCCCACAGGAACTCGTCCAAGGAAAGAGAGCACCGGTCACGCCGCGATTCAAGCGAGTCGCGGTCACAGCAAGGGAGCCACCGGCGGTCAAGCGTCAACAGCGGCGACAGGGGCGTCGAAGACCGTGATCGACACGAGCAAAAGAACGCTCGGGCCAAGGGGGGGCACACGGAGCAGCGCTGGGACCGTGATCGCGAGCGCCAGCGCGGCTGGAGCGATGAGCGAGACCGGCGCCGGGGGTGGGACGGTAGCAGCGGCAGCGACAAAGACTGGGGCCGAGAGAGGGAGCGTGACAGAGACAGAGACTGGGAAAGAAGCTCCAGTGAGAGAAGCCGGAGTAACCGAGAACGGTCGTGGAACCGGGGCAGGGACCACGACAGCCGAGACGCGGGGAGGAGTCGAGACAGGGATAGGTCCAGACACTGAAGTGACCGACCGATATCCTGTGCGCTGACCCAATGGGGGGGGGAAAAAAACTCACTTGAGACCAGGACACTGTTTTGAAGTCTTGCTATTATGCTGACTGATGCATCTCAAGTCGAGCGGGCATCGGTCGCAGCAGGCTATCAAGAAATGCGTTATTTGATGAGAATATAGTTGGACTTGAAATGTTTTTGATGACTCGCACCACAGGCTGTATTTGTTGTACATACAATTCAGTATGATCTTTCATGTGTTCTGAGCTGTACAATTATTTTATGGTGTTCGTTGACACTTTTGATAAGCAAATCTATTACCAATTTTTCATCAGGAGTTTGCCGGCCTCAAAAAGTTTTGTTATAAACATCGGTAATTCAATACATTATCTTTGTTATTGCTTTTGCAGGTTGTTTTGTGAAATTCCAACTTATTGGATGTTGAAGAACCATGTCACACACATGTTAACTGATGTTTTGTTTGTAAAATATGTTTATTAAAAAAACATGTTTCTGTATTTTCTTAATTCTGAATTGCTTGTGACAAATTGAATGTGATTTTTTAAATATATATAATTAGAATTTTAAAATTAGAGTTTTTTTGTGTTCTCCCTACTCATCTAGGAATCATCCACGCATCACATGTAAATTCAAGTCGTATCACTGTTGTTAAAGTTCAGCTTTAAGACTGTTGGCAATGATTGAACTAAAATATTAAGCCAACCTATGGCATGTAAGAGATTATTTGTATTAATAATAGCTTAATTTAGATGACTTCAGGTTATAAGGTATACGTTAAAGTTTTGCCATTTTTAAATACTGTATCACTTTCACAACAATGTTAAGATTCGTATTGCTAAAATTTTACATTGGCTGCAACGGTGAGGAAAACAACTTGAATTCGACATTGAAACTTTGAATATCGGTACGACTTTCACTTGCAGAGTCTTGATTAGTACGGGGTCATAGCTCTTTACACTTGAAATGGCTGCCACTTTTGGCAATGGCATATTAAGATTGCATAACTGAGAGCCTTTTGATTTAATTGTACATACGGGGGATCTTCAGCAAGTGTAGAGACAAACGTATTTTTTTCAGATAACACTTTATATCGAAAGACGGTCCCCATCATCATACTCTGCGAATATACAATTGTCCCAACAGCCCACTAACCTTCATAATTCCAGAAGCACATGCTGTAAATATTCTGGTTTGTCTTTGAGCCATTACTGCGCCACTGCTTTTACAACCTCGTCACTTTCAAACCACTCTCTGTCGATCTTCTTTCAGATGTCAATAAATGTCACTCCTAAGCGGCTATGTGTGGGCTATATGCTAGATCTTTCGGATAATAGGATCCAAGCTTTCCCAACAATTATATATTTGTGCACGTGCAGTGTGTGGGTGAGCATTGTCTTTGGTGTCCCACCGTCCCTTTGTCAAGAATCCGGGCTATATCATAAATTCAAAAGCTCACCACGAACCCCGATCGTTGAAGGTAAAGCATGAACTGGCCTACCACGTCTCTTAATAAAAAATATGCTCACTTCCTGAATGGAGCTGATCCACCATATGTAAATAGTGCAATGATTAATACTCTTGTCACCATAATGCAGCTTTATATATTTATATTTCATTTGCATTACAAGGTTAGGAACATTTCCAGATAGCTGCTCTTCTAATGTGCAGTTGTGCAAGAATATTTTTTTGATGTGAAACGTCTGCCAATCTCGAAGCAAAAGCTACAAAAAAGTTCATGTGAGTACCAAGATCCTGTCCGCATTCATCACTGTTTTGGATATAAAAAAAAACCCAAGTTCATTGCAATTATATAAGAATTATAATTGGGAAATATTGCAGCGCAGTATGATAGTTTTATCTCGGCAGCTGTGGAAGAGATTTTTCACGGAACTTTGTGGCCTTTTTTACCTTTACATAATAGGGGTCGTATTTTTCTCCATACACTTTGTTACGAGATTGTTGCGCACCGTATTCTTCATTATTACCTGGAGTTTGCAAAAATTAAGTGCCGAACCAAATTTAACAAGATTTTGGTGTGTGCAGTCACTGGTGATTGGGCTGAAACTAGCGATTTCCTCCACTTAACCCGGTTTCATCACGGGTACCTTGGCGAATCCTAACCCAAGGACTTCTGACCTATCCGGCCACCTCTACAACGTAATTTCTTAAATCAGAATCCTAATGACATACATCTATATATATAAAATCGTTCATGTCTGTCTGTCTGTGTGTGTGTGTGTGGACTTTGGCCCATACGCACTTTCATTGGACGGCGGTTGCCCCTGGCAACGGCTAGCCACGCCTTCGCCAAGGGCTGCAGTTTCATTGGACGGCGGTTGCCCCTGCCAACGGCTAGCCACGCCTTCGCCACTTTCATAAGCTCCGTATTTAATTAAATAATAGCCATTACACAGTATTGTTGGAGCGCTAGGGGGGGGGGGAAGGAACGCCACCCGTACCCTGCCTCTTCCAAGCCGACAATTTTAGGCGAGGCCGCAGGCTTTGCACGCTACTAGGCCTCGACACCCACAACGCCACTCTGAGGTAAATTCATCAAAGTTTTTCCTACTCTTCACTACACCCCCACCACAATGTGTGCTATTAATATTACTTTTAAACCCAACGCGCCAACAATCGATTACTTTAATGTTCACTGTACAAATACTCATTAAGCTGGGTGAGCGTACTGCCAGTCTATCATGTACACTGTAGCCTGCTTATTAAGCTCGGTGAGCGTACTGCCACTCTATCATGTACACTCTAGCCTGCTTATGAAGCTGAGTGCGTGTACTGGCAGTCTATAATGTGGACTCTTGCCTGGTTATTATAATCGATTCTTTATATGTTCTTTGTACAAACAGTCATTAAGCTGCTTGAGCGACCCCAGTTCGATTCCAACTCACGCCCACCACCGCTGACGATTATTTGAAACGGACCTGGCCCTCCCCTAGGTCCACTCAGCCTCAAAAGCGTAACTGCTGTCGTGTGTGAACATCGTCACTGGGGAGACAAAGGCGGCGGGGCATCGTGGATCCAAGTCCCGGGCGAAGCCGGGTCATGTGTATGTGTGTTTGTGTTTATGTGTATGTCTGTTTGTCTCTATGTATGTGTGTATGTATGTGTATGTATGTGTTTCTGTGTATGTGTGTGTGTATGTATGTGGGTTTTTTTTTATGTCTTTATGTGTATGTCTGCGTGTCTCTATGTATGTGTGTATGTACGTGTGTGCATGTGTTTGTGTGTATGTATGTGTGTGTCTATGTATGTGTGTGTATGTGTATGTGTGTGTATGTGTGTGTATGTATGTGTGTTATATGTCTGTCTGTGTCTGCATGTATGTGTGTGTGTATTGTGTATGTGTTTGTGTGCATGTATGTGTGTGTTTGTGTGTATGTGTATGTCTGTGTGACAGAGGAGGTGTTCAGGTTAATTGAGAAAAAGCGTCAGGCCCACTCTCATCGCCTACAGCATCCCACGTCAGAGAATGAGGAGGTTTACCGCAGCCTTCGCTCAGAAGTTCGGAGAGCCGTAAGGCGCTGTAAGGATGGGTGGTGGTCGCGAGTTGCTGAGGAGATGGAGTCTGCCTCAGTGGCCCGTGATCACAAATCACTATTTAACTCCATCAAAAAAGTAACCTGCAGCGCCACACCTATTACCATCATTAGAGGAAAAAACGGTGATCCAATCTCCGACCCACAGGAACAGGTTTGCAGATTTGCTGAGCATTTCTGTGAGGTCCTGGGGGAGGGAAATTCTCTCAGCCAGGAAAACATCATGGCACAAAGTGGTGATAACCCTGCTGAGGCTGCGGTGCCTCAAATATTGGAAGAGGTCACCCCCTGTGAGTGGCTGGCTGAGGTGCCAGCTGTTGAGGAAGTACTGAGGGCGATCCGGAGTCTGAGACCAGGGAAGGCATCGGGCAGAGATGATCTCCCAAGCGAAATGCTGAGGGAGGGTGGCGTTTGTGCACAGACTGCCCTATATGACATCATAACAACAGTCTGGACCACTGGACGGGTTCCGCAGGACTGGAAGGATGCCCTGGTGGTTCCCCTCTTTAAGAAGGGGGACCGTACCGACTGTAACAACTACAGGGGCATCTCACTCCTCAGTGTGCCGGGTAAGGTCCTGGCAAGGATTATTCAACATCGCCTTGCTAGGCACGCTGAGGAGAGGCTTGCGGAGCCCCAATGCGGTTTCAGGAAAGGGCGGTCCTGCACAGATGCCATATTTTCTGTCCGTCTGCTACAGCAGAGGTGTAGGGAATTCCAAAAAGACCTACATCTCTGCTTTATTGACCTGGTCAAGGCCTATGATACCATCAGTAGGCCTGGGCTCTGGGTTGTTCTTCGTGCTTTCGGAGTCCCTGACCCTCTGCTCACGATCATTAAGGACCTTCATGATGGTGAGCGGGCCCGGGTAAAACTACGTGGCCGGGAGTCGGAGCCTTTCCCTGTAAACCTTGGGGTGCGACAGGGATGTCCTCTGGCTCCCACATTATTTAACATCTATTTTGACCGCGTAGTTCGTGAAGCCTTCAATAGCTGTACCGGGGGAATTTCCATTTGGTACAGATATAATGGGAGGCTGATCGACGCCCGGGTGCGATCAAGGGATGGCTCCCTATTGGTCAACCACGTTATGTATGCCGATGATTTGGTAATAGCTGCTCACTCAGAGGAGGAGTTGGAGACGCTGCTGCTGAGACTGGAGCGTGCCACTAAGAGGTGGGGCCTTACCAACAGCCCCACCAAAACTAAGCACCTGCCTGGGTATTTTGTAACATCGGACACTCCACCCCCACAACTCCCAATTGGTGATGGGGCAGTTGTGGAGAGAGTGGAGAGTTTCCCATACCTGGGCAGTGTGCTTATGACCGGCTCCAGTCTATCAGCAGAGGTCTCACTCCGAATCAGTCGAGCGGCAATATCTTTTCATCGGTTGCGTAACGCTGTGTGGAAGCTACCTGGTCTGTCGCTCCGCACGAAGCTTCAGGTCTTCTCGGCCACGGTCATTCCCTCCCTTCTCTACGCTTGCGAGACGTGGACCCCCCTGGTGGAGCATCTTCGCCGGTTGGAAACATTTAGGCTGGCCTGCCTACGATCCATCCTGGGTTTAACCAGGCTGGATTGTGTGAGGAGCTCACAAATCCTTGAAAGATCTGGGCAAAGTCCCATCAGTGAGCTCCTCCGGCAGGCAAGGCTGCGTTGGCTGGGTCATGTAGCCCGCATGCCCAGCCACCGCATGCCTAAACAGCTTTTGTTCGGCCGGATCGAGGGGGCTAGACGGGCGCGGCACGGGCTGGAGAAGAGATGGAGTGATGTGGTACAGGAGGACGTGGAGCTGAGTGGACTTGCCGATGACTGGTACCAGCGGTGTCAAGATCGGCCTCAGTGGAGGAGGCTCGTGAAGGACGCTACTGGGCAGTTGGAGGCAGTCGCCCTCCAACAACAACGGAGGGCGGAGGAGCGACGCTCACAACAACGAGCGGAGCGCC